TTTGAACCAATTTCTTATAATCTCTTGATTCAAAATGAACAATTTTTTCAGTCTGGGATGAGTGTTCTCACCTTCTACCAGGCTATGGATGACTAAAGTCAATGTTTCAGATGCATTTCTTCACATTCTGATTTGTCCAACCACTTGTTACTTTTCCTAGTTCATTCATGATGGTCAGATGTACAGTTCTGGGTCCATTCTTTCAAGGCCTGAGGACATTCACATGGAGGATGTATTCATATGGCTTTCAATTCCACTACTATATGGATGATTGGCTCTTTCTCACTCCATCCTAACAGCATCATTGGCTTTGACCTTCCTTTTTATTCAGGACTCATCTTGTTTGGGTTGGCCGGCCTGGTTTACCAATCTGTCTACCCCTTCCCACAGAGGGCACAACCAATCTTTTAAACTTTGTGAAAACTATTCAGTCCAATACAAAAAGCACTTGAGAATTTTACCAAGTATCTGATTTTCTTGAGCATTTTTTTCAACTCATTTGTGGGGCTTAGCCTTCTTTGCTCAGCCTTCTTTTTTACATCTTTTAGACAAGGAAAAGCTCTCATGTCTGCTTCCCTTCCTGTTTTTTCTATTTTGGGGACTTTGGCTTCTCTTGAATCCCTTGTGTCTATCAGACATACCCATATGCATCCTCTTCAGTAGACTCTGGCTGATTACCATCTTCTCTTGAGTCTTTCCCTTCATCTCTTCACCTGTCAGTCTCACATTACCTTGGGTATCTCTGTTCTCCCACCATGCCTGGACTCGTATCGATTCACAGGTATCTCTTTGTTTGGGTGGGGTGCAGCTCTGAACACCTACATCCTTTCAGGGGTCTAGTCTCCATAGGAGCAACCTCTCTATCTCGGACAACCCAAGTGTCATTTCTTATATCAATCATCAGGGAAGCAATCACTCCTGGGACCTCTGTCTTACCTAGAATTGATCATTCCAATAAAGTGGTCTCTACATCTTCTGGTGTTTCATTGGACTTGCTCCTACTTTGGAGTATACTCTCTCTGACACCTTTGCAACTCCCCTTAACACCAAGCTTTGAATTTTCTAGTCAACAGTTCTGGACTCTGCAGTTCTGGCTATGGATGATCCAACTCTGGATTAGTCCACTCTCTTTCTATATGTTTATCCACGACCTCCCATCTCTTCCCTGGCCATTCTCTATGGCTCACATGAAAATCATCAAAGACTTTCTTATCAGTTGTCCAGTTCATCTTCTGAACTGGAAACTGTTTTGTTCTTAGGGCTCTCATGCATCTTCCATTTGAACCTTTGACCATCTGTTCTATGTACTATTTTTCTCCAAAGATATATTTTCTTCTTCTTGCTTGTGGGAGATGTTACTTTGACATTTCTGTCTTGGATTTGTCCTGCACTCTTTATCACAGGGCCAGGTTCATTTTATTCCCAGATCACTCCTTCATCTCCAAGCTGCTCAGGTTTGTCATCCCCCAGCTTTTTTTGCCCCTAGCCATCAGTGTTATCTGGATGAGATCTTGTAAGTGGTTATGTGGATGATCTCTGACATATTTGTGTCTAATTACTTACACCACAGTGCAGTTTCATCTTCCTCCATTCACCACTCTTCCAAAAGGAAGTGAGTTTTTACTACATCCTTTTATTTATAGCTCCCACATCACCATTATTATCTCTATATGAATATACACTGGAGACAATAGAAACCACCAAATGGCCAGTGTTGCCTCACAGGAAATACTTTTCTCTACATCAAGTGGAGAATAACAAATTGTTAAACCTATTCATCCTTGCTTAGTGCCCATTGTTGAGATGGGATTTTCCAGGCCATACTTCAGGAAAACAAAATGACATATCAGGTGTGATCTTGCCCTCGCACCTGGCATACATCTGCTGCCTCTATTAGTGATAACTCATTGCACAACCTATCAATGTGGGACTTTATGCAGGTGATAGAACATTTCTGTTTGGTCCATGCAATTTTCTGGTGTTCTCCTAAACACAAATCCCCCACCTCATTTTCTTCTAGTGAATAAAGGGAGAACTCTTGCTTCTCCAGTCTCAAGCTGGTGGGGTGGTCAATATGGAGAGTTCTTTTCAAGTTAGTGCAATCCCTCCATTATGAGACTGAGTGGACCCACCCCTCTAACAGAAGAAATGCTAGCCAGATGGGTCTTCTGTTCTTGTGACGTGGGTCCGAGGTGAGTCATCCTTGCACCTGTTTATTTTGATAAAATTAAATTCTAGGTAATTATTTTTCACCCTTCGATAAGAGATTCTCTTTCTGGTCCCCCAACTCTTCCCTAGACTCTTAATTCTTCCAGCTTTCTCAACCTGGTAAAATTAGTGTCCGGTACTGCCTACTTAGAAAACAATTAACACTACGCTTCTTTATTTGTTGTAGTACTAAAGTTTTATCCACACTATTTCCATCCAATATGACATCTGACTGTTTCTGACCTTAATGTAAGTTGACAATATAATCAGTTCTAGGATTTTATTGACAATATAATCAGTTCTAGGATTTTATTGATAATATAATCAGTTCTAGGATTTTATTGATAATATAATCAGTTCTATGATTTTATTGATAATATAATCAGTTCTATGATTTTATTGATAATATAATCACTCTTAGGATTTTATTGATAATATAATCAGTTCTGGGATTTTATTGATAATACAATCAGTTCTGGGATTTTATTGACAATATAATCAGTTCTGGGATTTTATTGACAATATAATCAGTTCTGGGATTTTATTGACAATATAATCAGTTTTGGGATTTTATTGACAATATAATCAGATCTGGGATTTTATTGACAATATAATCAGTTTCAGGATTTTATTTACAATATAATCAGTTTCAGGATTTTATTGACAATATAATCAGATCTGGGATTTTATTGACAATATAATCAGTTTTGGGATTTTATTGATAATATAATCAGTTTCGGGATTTTATAGACAATATAATCAGTTTCGGGATTTTATAGACAATATAATCAGTTTCAGGATTTTATTGATAATATAATCAGTTTCAGGATTTTATAGACAATATAATCAGTTTCAGGATTTTATTGATAATATAATCAGTTTCAGGATTTTATAGACAATATAATCAGTTTCAGGATTTTATAGACAATATAATCAGTTCTGGGATAAATATTCTTGCAGTCACTTTCCTAATACATGTTAGTGGTATAGGAAGGGGTTTCAAAGTTGGGGTGCTTGGCTAGACATGCAGATTTTACAATGAGAGATTGTAAGTACAAGGAGTTGCCAAAGGCAGCTCAATTTATGGAGGTCTGGGGGCCCAGGAAATTAATATAATAATATAATTTACAGTTGCTATATAAGTGAAATATGTAAAAGTGTGGGTGCTACAGCACCCCAGGTTCCTACACCTCTGTACGTGGTAATGTGAAATATGTAAAAGTGTGGGTGCTACAGCATCCCAGGTTCCTACACCTCTGCACGTGGTAATGTGGAATATGTAAAAGTGTGGGTGCTACAGCATCCCAGGTTCCTACACCTCTGTACGTGGTAATGTGAATATGTAAAAGTGTGGGTGCTACAGCACCCCAGGTTCCTACACCTCTGCAATGGGGTATTTGTGTATTGGTCGTCACCAGCGGGGGATATTGTTCTGTTTCCTCTTAAATTTCTATGGAGTAATTGGGGACCGTTTTTCTAGTTATTTTTAAGTAATTGTTTTAATTCTTCACTAAATATATCTAGTTCATCAGCATTAGTCTCTAATTCTGTTAAATTCTGAAGCTTTACTTGTGAATGCTGAAAGAATGTCATCTCCTCTTATGTTACGTCTTGTTAAATCGAGTAGTTGTACTTCAGCTTAAAGGATAGCCAAACACAAGGTTGAAGAAGATGGTGGATTAGCTGTACATATGGGACTTGACACAACACACATTGTCAGTCAGTTCTACATGTGCAAATGAATGGAGTGTTCTACAAATGTGTGTGTGTGTGTATTTATGTGGGTCCTGATATAAAGATCATTCATTATACCATATGTTTTAAACAGTACTATACGTATCTCATGAAAACAGTGTACCTATTGTCTTTGTATCTGTTTTTGACATGACACACATTGTCAGTCAGTTCTATATATGCAAATGAATGGAGTGTTCTACAAATGTGTGCGTGTGTATTTATGTGGGTCCTGATATAAAGATCATTCATTATACCATATGTTTTAAACAGTACTATAAGTATCTCATGAAAACAGTGTACCTATTGTCTATGTATCTGTTTTATTTCTAACAACAAGAACATTGCAGACCATCGAGTAGTGTAGACATTTAGTACATGCGGTTATAAGGAAAGTTACATTGCTACAAATAGACAGGGCCAAATGTTAAGTGAAGCCTGTGTAGGACCTGCCTATTGCAGCTAGAAAGTTAACATTCAGTACAATATTTAAGTACTATAAGTATCCATTTTAAATAAGTTACGTATTCAGTGAGTGATATAGATTTAACACTCGTTTTCAACATAACCTAATTTTATTCCTAGTCTTGTTACCAACGTTTTGATTCAAAGTTTTTCTAACGGTATTGAACAGACAAGAAATTCTATGAATAATTTTGTGGCAATGCAAATTTAATTTTTAATAAAGTAGCAGCTGTTCTTGTTTTCTTAAATCCTGATATTAAATTTTCACAACAGATGGGCTCTTTATACAACATCATATTGAGTATTTACATAATTTGTCGAAAAGGTTGTGTGATTATAAAACCATATCTAAAATAACTACCTCATAAGAACTTTGAAGATAATTTAATTATTGACCTTGCATCTATTTCATTAAAAAATAAATTGAAGTCACTTGTGCGTAGCTTCATTATCCAACATTGGCACCCTAACTATAAAGTGGTATCCATATTTGTTATACATTGAAATACTGAGTTTAAAATATCGCTTATTATAACAGTTTTATGGATTTTTTTCCTCCCTTTGTCTTAATTTTAAAGATTTCTTATTTACAGTAGAATGCTGACTGCAGCTGAATATATTTTTCCTTATATCAATGTTTCTGAGTGGCCCACCTGAATTTTTTAATCTCAGTGGACCACTGTGCTGTCACAACCTTTCCGTAATAATACAACCTTTCTATGGACCACCTGAAGGAAACTCGTGGATCACACATTCAGAATTACTGTTTTACATTATTTATTTACGCACAGAGTGGGTTAACTTCAACCTTGACATACATTATAAGTTTAAATTTTAAAAATGAAACAACCAAAGATATCTGTTTGCCTTGTTTATGTAATATCTTGTACAAAGACTTTCTTTTAAGCCTAATTTTCTGTATTACCGGTAAGCTTTATATAGAATCATTTGTTAGCTGAACAGAAATATCAGATTCCTTTACTAGCTAAAACATGCCATTTTCTTTAAATTTGCAGATTTTACTAGGAAAAAAAACACTTTTTTTTTTCAAATTTGTGATCAAGATTATGTTACCCTTATTATGACCTAAGGAGATCAAATCTTTATGACTTGTATTGTGTTTTGAATAAATATATATATATATAT